CTCAGAGGGGACTCGCGCGATGGCGACGAGAGCGGCTCTCGGGCGGGGGCCAGCTCCGCGACCGCGCAATCGCGCTCACGTTCTGAGGGCTGGCGACCTTTGCCACGCATGCACACACACATGCACACGCACATGCACATGCACACGCACACGCACACGCACACGCGCTCACTTGGAGAAGTTCTGTCCCAGGCAGTGCGAGGTGGCGCCCTGGATGCCGCGCCCGTTCTGAGGGATGAAGGCCTCCACCGTCGTCGTGTACAGCGCCCCCGCAAACTTCTCCTTGCTGCTCTTCACGCCCTGTGGGCGACCAAGGAGCAGGCGGAGGCGGAGGCCGGGCAGCGCAGGTGCGTGTGTGTGTGTGTGTGTGTGTCTGTGTGTGTGTGTGTGCTCGGAGGATGGGAGAGTGGGGGCAGCAAGGCTAATCGGCAAGGAGCGGGCACCACAGCCTGGTGCGTGCGGGCAGCCGCACCTTCATGACGGGCACAGCCAGCAGCTCCTCGTACACCCGGCGGTACAGGTCCAGGATCTGGTACACCTCTGCGGTACATGGGCAGTACGGTGGTGTGGCGGCAGCTTGAAAGCAACCCCACGCTGGGCAGCGGACATCCAGGAGGGGGAGGGAAGGACGGGGCGTGCACAGCACGTGCCCAGTCTCCAGCCTGCATGTGCTGCATCAGCAGCGCTACGATGCCACGAGCTCTCTTTCACTCCCCACCCATGTGCCACAAGATTCAGGTCCTCCCTCCCTCCCTCCCACCCACCCGTGTCTGCCTCCTCCTTGGTGGCAAAGCAGGTGTGGCCCTCCTGCCACAGGAACTCACGAGACCTGCGGGGGACAGGGGGCAGGCAGGCAGGCAGGCAGGCGAGCAGGCACACCGTTGGGGCAGAGGCAGGAACCCGCCAGGCCGGCAGGTGCACACACACGCCGCGCTGCGCTGAACGGCCCTTGCCCCGGCCGGCCAGCACCTGCTGCGCGCCATGTGCTGCCTGCCAGCTGCTCACCGGATGAAGGGGGTGGGGTGCTTGAATTCCCACCGCACCACGTTGGTCCACTGGTTGAGGCGCAGCGGGAGGTCGCGGTGGCTACGGATCCACTGAAGGCAGGAGTAGGGCGGGACGGGGCGGCCGCGGGGGCAGGTGAGCATTGCAGGCAGGTGCGGCAGGCCCCAGACAGCAGTCGGCTTCGTACACGCGACGGCAGCGGTGCAAGTGGCAGTATCATCAGCAGTACATGCGGTACACCCGTACCTGCGCGTAGTACGGGTACATCACCGTCTCCGAGGTGGGGCGGATGGCGATGGGGCGCTCCAGCTCGCTGCTGCCGCTGCGCGTCACCCAGGCCACCTCGGGGGCAAAGCCCTCCACGTGCTCCTTCTCAGTCATCAGCACATCCTCAGTGATGAACAGCGGGAAGTAGGCGTTCTGGGGGGGGGGGGGGGGGGGAGGGGAGGGGAGGGAAGAAAGAAGGAGGACGAGGAGGAGGTGGGGTGGGGATGGGAGAGGGACGAGGGACGAGGGAGGCTCTCGCCATGCTGGGCGCCGCCCCGGCAGCCTGCGGTTCTGGCTCCACCATCGCCGCCGCGCCGACTGGAGTCGGCGTGGTGGCGCTGCATGCTGCTGCAGCTGCCGCTGCCCTCTGGCACCACACACGCGCCGCCCCGGGCGCCGCACCTGCACCCCCAGCTCCTTGATGCGAGCGTCAAACCAGTTCTTGATTTCATCCCAGATGGCAAAGGAGTAGGGGCGCAGGATGTAGCAGCCTGCGTTGGGCAGAGCGGAGGGCAGGTCGATGCGCACGCGAGGTGCGCGTGAGAGGCGGTGAATGTGCACGAGAAGGGCAAGCGGCGCCAAGGCGGGGCCGAGTAGGGCGTGGACGGGCGGCAGCGGCACGGCGTGGCAGGCGCAGCGGGCACAGCGTGCGCAGCAGGCCGCAGCGCACCCGACACGTCATAATAGGATATCATCTCGCTCTCCACCACCACCTGCGCCCGGGCGGGTAGGGCATGGGCGGGCTCAGCGGGTGGCCGTGCCCTGCTGTCCCTGCTGCGCAGGCAATCACAAACCGCCAGGCTCCTCTCCCTGCCTGCGATGCCCAGCCCTGGCCCGGGCGGGGCAAGCGCCGCACCTGTGAGAACCACTCCCCAAAGTCGCCGTCCTTCTTGGCGGTCAGCCCCAGCTTGGTCTCCTTCTTCTTCTCGTTTTTGCCCTCGCCCTGCGGCACGCACCAGGCCGGCCCGCCTCGGCGCTCTCTCATTGCTGGTGCTGCGCCCACAGCTTGCAGCCCTTGCGGCTGGCGGTGTGCCGGTGTGCAGAAGCAGGGCCGCGGGTTCGGTGCAGCTCCCGCCACCGGCTCCATCCAAGCGCAATACCACCTGCTTGGGCTTGTCAGGCTTGGGCTGCTTGGGCTTCTTCTCCTTCTTGGGCTTGCCGCCCTCCGCCGGCGGCGCCCCATCGCCCACCGACAGCGCCGCCATCTGCTCCTCAGGCGCCGCCATCGCCGCCGCTGCTGCTGCCACCGCTGCTGCTGCTGCCGCTGGGGCGCGACCTGCAGGCCAGGGGCAGCGTCTGGCTCAGCCGACTTGCAATGCAGGTGGACGGAACGGCGGCAATGGGGAATGAGCGGTCATGCAATTGATTATCACGCTGTTAGCATGCAACGCCAAGCGCGAGAGCGGTAACAGTGGCATGGCGCAAATCGAGGTCCGGCCCCGACCTGCCTGTGTCCTTGCAGCAGGCACAGGCCGCTGATGGGTGCTTGTATTGCCCTGGAAGCCGTCGAGCAGCCCAAACGCCGAGATCAGGACTTTCCAGGGCGGTGCCCTGCTGTCACTTGCAGAGCCACCTGTCGCAAATTCAACCATCGACCCATTGCTCCGATCTCGCGGCAGCATGCGCCAGTCCGTGCACGCTGCTTCCAGGTCGATGGCGGGGTTTGCAAAGGCCACCATCTCCACTGCCCCACCAGCACCTCCGCCTCGCTGTGCTGTGATTGGTGGGGGAGTGGCTGGGCTGTCCGCAGCTCACTCCCTGGTACAACACGACGTGGCTGCGACAGTGTTTGACATGGGCGTGCGGGGCGCCGGCGGCAGGGTGGCGTCGCGTCAGTTCGAGGCCCTCAGCTTCGACACAGGCGCCCAATTCTTCACGGCCCGCAGCCCCGACTTTCGCAAGCAGCTGGAAGAGTGGCAGGCATCCGGAGTGGTGCAGGAGTGGCGCGGCCGGCACGGACGCATATGCACAGAGGGTGCGCCCTGCCGGTGCTCCCCGTCATCTGCTGAAATTGGCAGGCCTGGCCCACATTTGCAATTGCAAGCCAGCCTGCTGGCCCATGGATACCCACAATGCATCCATCAGAGTCACTGCCTGCCTGCTGCTCGTGCAGATGGCACCTTTGAGCTGCTATCCACGAGCAGCAGCGGCGGCAGCGGCAGCAGGGGCGGCGGCGGCGGCGGCAGCAGCGGCTTCTGTGGCTCGCTCACCGGCCTGCCGCTCTACGTCGGCACTCCAACCAACAATGCGCTCTGCCAACAAATGGCTCGGCAGCTGCAGGAGCAGCTGGGGGCGGCAGAGGTGCAATCGGGATGCATCGTGCAGTCAGTGACACGCACCAGCGGCGGCTGCGGCGGCGCCGGCATGCAGTGGCAGCTGAGGGGCAGCCGGCAGGGGCGTGCCGCGGCGGGGGAACCCCCTCAGCCAGCAGACCAGCAAGACCTGGGCTCTTTTGATGCCGTCATCCTGGCCGATGCCATGCCGCTGATCCCAGGTGCATTGCCGGGCGGGCCACGGCAGCGGGCAGGCCGCAGGTGCCGCCTGCCGGCAGCCCCTGCTGTGGCTGGGCCTGCACCTGCACCCTGTCTGCTGCCCGACCTCGTCCCTTCCCCGGACCGCCGCCGGCTGGCCGCTCTGCAGGCAGCGCCGGCCACGTCAGCGGCATCGACCAGCTGTCCACCTCGCTTGCCCAGCTGGCAAGGAGCGCGCAGGCGGCGGCCCCGCAGGCCTGCTTCGCGCTCATGGCGGCCTTTCACCAGCCGCTGCCGGGCGTCCCCTTTGACTCTGCCACCATGGATCCCACCACCACCACCACCACCAGCAGGGGCAGCGCAGCAGCTTTCCAGTGGGTGGCCTGCAACAGCAGCAAGCCAGGGCGGCCGATTGCCGACGGCGGCGGTGGCGCGCCGCAGTGCTGGGTGGCGCTGACCAGCCCGCAGCGCACGCAGCAGCTGCTGGAGCGCCACCCGCTCATGCTGGATGGCAAGCTGGTGCCCCAGACCGACGGCTACAGGCGGGCGGTGGCGGCAGAGCTTCTGGCCGACTTCCGAGCCCTCATGCAGCCCCTCCTCCAGGTGGGATAGGGTGGGGTGGGGTGGATGCTACTGCCCGGCAGCCATCGCCCTTGGGAATGATCGGCTGGGGAGGGGGCGCCTTTTGCACAGGCGCCGCCGCCCGCCACCACACACACACACACACACTCCCCTCGCACTGACCAGCACCCGCCGACGCCCGCCTGCAGGGCCCGCTGCCCGACCCCGCCTACTGCCACGCGCAGCGCTGGGGCCGCGCCTTTGTGGCGCAGCCCTTGGGAGCCGAATTCCTGCTCCTGCCTGCCCAACGGCTGGCGCTGTGCGGCGACGTGGCGGCCGGCAGCAGCGTGGAGGCGGCCTGGCGCAGCGGGCGGGCGGCAGGGCAGGCTGTGGCGGCCATGCTGGCGGCCAGCGGGCCCGCTGCGGCCAGGGCGGCGGCGTGATGGAGCGCGGGGGCCGGCGGCAGCTCACATGTTGCTCCTGGGCGCCTGCCCTGCTGCTGATGTGCATGATGATAGACATGGTCGGTACTGACATGTCAACAGGCGGGCAGCACGATTCTTCAGCACAGGTCCCCCATCGCCACGAGAGCGGGGTCGGGACTCTGCAGCTTCTGCCGCTCCCTTGCCGCCACCCACCAGCCGCTCCATGTCACAGAGTCTCGGGATATCTCTGCGCAGCTTCGAGGCTGCCGGGAATGTTTCAGCCCTGGAACGCAGGACGATTTGAGCGCAGGTGGGCGCCATGAAAGGCCGCCTCGCTGGCGCCCGCTGGGCGGGGGCGGGAGAACAGCCAAGAGCATGGTGGCACCCCTGCTCAATCTCTCTCGCTTTATCCAGCTGTGCCATGCCCTCCCCAGCCCCCCAAGGCTGTGCGGCTGAGCCAATTCCCTGAGCCAATTCCCTGAGCCAGGCACACAGCATGGGTGCATGTGGCAGCAAGCCTGCAGGATGGTGCCAGCCTGCAGGATGGTGGGGCAGGCACAAGGTGGGGCCGGGCCAGGGGGGAACCCTTGGACCGAGAAGGCTTGTGCACTGACTGACTGAGCGTGCAGACTCCTCCAAGGTTGAGGGACCTCAACCTCGGCCTGTGCTTGTTGTGTAACCTGACACGTGCTGCCTCCAGGCCCCAGCAGCCAAGGGAGCGCCTCCGCCGCCGCCCGCTTCTCGCGCTTCCAACGCCGATGACGACAACGTCGACGGCGGCCAGCCCCGCCCCAACCTTTTCACAATGGACAGCATGGGGGCAGAGGGCCTGGCCACAGCAGAGCCTCCCGCAGGCATCGCCGAGCGTGCCGATGGAACCAGCAGCGCCAGCGACGCGGCCGTCGCAGCGCCGGCCGCCCCTCTCGCCCCGGAGCCCGCCACCCTCGGCCCCTTTGACGGTCACGACGGCAGCGAGGCGAGCGGCGGCGGCGACGAGGCTGCGCGGCTGCGCGATGTGCGTGCCTCCATGGCCGTGCTGCCCAAGACCCAGGCGGGGCTGGACAGCATCACCGAGCTGTGTGCCAAGGTGGGGGCGGGGCTGGCTCGGGGCCTCGCCGCGGGGCGGGGGGGCCACCCGGGAGCATGCGGCGGCTGGCCGCGGGCGGGCCACGGTGCCCGTCCGCCTCCCTCCTTCT